TTATGTGTTAGATACCACTAAACTACTTTGTATCAAGAACTTTATCTTTTTGTGAATAACCTGTGTAAATATACTCAAAGGCACTGTTCATATTTTTAGGGCTTGTATTATAATTTGTAAGGTTTATGCTGGATTCTGCATGGCTATGTATACTCACTCTTGGAATAAAGACAGGGCTTGCTCTTCTTTCCAAATATGAGCAGTCTTCATAGAGGAAGACAGGTTGATTCATAGGGGAAGACAGGTTTATTTTATTGGCTTGGTCATAAAATAACAGAAATGGTCACACCAATCATGAAACGAAATCGGTTTCGTGCAAATTGATGTAGTTTCTTATTTATTGCTTTTGTAAATTGAGTAAAAATGGACTTTTATGTAAATATACTGAATCCTGTATTATCATGGCTAACTAAAAATTAGTATGTAAAGAATGCATCCTTCATTGTAATTTTAAAAATATTTTATGTATTTCTAGATATGACTTAATTTTAGTTTTCATATATTATGAAAACTGCATACTCCCTAATTGCTTCAGACTAAACACATACCCACTGTATGTACTTCTAATTACCTTATAACAGTATTAATTTAGATAGCTTGTTTGTACTGTGCAATTTGAACAAAGGAATGCAATGTTATTTTTTACAAAAACAAACTTGTTTATTTTTATAACGATGTATTTCATGTGGACCAAATTCATACCACTATGTAAAACAGCCTCTCTTAGTGCAATTACAGTTTAGAAATAAAATTTGGTCCTCTATCCTCGTTTTTAAAAGTAAGTGGCTACAGTTAGCTGTCCTAGCCAGGTTTCCTTCGACGGGAAACTCAAAACCATTTTTGAAATTGCTTAGTTCAGAATTCATCAAACTGTTTTAAATCATTGGTTTTGGTAATTTACTATCATTTACTTCTTACAAGTGCAATAATTTCACATACTGAAACTCCTGAATGGGTGGAATATGTGATTATTGGTTCCTGACCTGGTTCTTCTGGTGCTACTTTTATTTAAGCCTTTGTTTCAAACCACCTTTCCCTGACTCTTAAGGTAGAACTGTTTCCCAGGTGAGTACATCATGAGCTCAGCAAGAAACTAAACTGAAATTTCTTCTGCCCTAGTCCACTAGGAGAACTCCTAGCATTACTTTTGTGTTTGGTGTGAATATCCCGTCAATAAAAATGATTTACCATTTAAACAGCTGTCATCTTTTCCAATATCCTAATGTGCTGCTGGGTTCATCTTGCACTGTACCAAGCAGGCATCAATAAGAGCTGTATTCCTGGGGTTAATGCCATAAATTAATCCTCTAGAAAATACTTGTTTTTCAGCTAATAGGAATGGGTGACCCCCGAGGCAAAAGAGACAAATTTATAGGAAATTTCTCTGATAATTTGTTAATACAATTTAATATTTAAAAATTCAATCTTATTTTGCCTTGTTTGGTTCACTTGTCAACTGTTTAAGCCATATTTTTAACCAGTGAATTTAAATATTCAGTATAACCGAGGTTTAAATTATTTGCTAATACCAAAACAATAAATCATTTGGGGATAGAGTCAACCTTTGCTTGAATTAAAGTTGCTGCTACTTCTGTAATGTGTACTTTACTTGTAAAGGACAGTAAAACCATTCCATGAACTTTTGTTTGTTCACCATCTCAGGTTAACAGCAAAAAGTATATGTATTAAAAGCCACATAAATATTCTTTTGGTTATATAATTCCACCTCTTAGAATTTTTCTTATGAAATAACTTAGAAATTCAGCAGACTTAATATTTATTTATATGCAGAATTATTTAGAATAGGAGCCTCAAGAGTTGGCAGCATCCTAGATGCTTGACAATGCAAGATTGGAACAAATGATTCATGTTGATATTTTAAACGATCATGAAAAATGATATGAAATCATGCATACCATATAATTTCCACCAAGCAAAACTTTATATATAAAAAAGTGTAGAGGACACCAGGCATCATCTCGTAACAGGTGGGATTAACAATTTGATTTTTACTTTTTCCTGTTGTCCTATATTCCTAAATCTGCTGTGTCTATGGATTTGCCTATTCTGGACATTTCACATAAATGGAATAATGTTATATGTGGCTTTTTCTGTCTGGCTTCTTTCACTGAGCATGATGTTCATCTTTGTATATCAGTGCTTCATTCCTTCTCAAGGTTGAATAATATTCCATTTTATAGACATGCTATACTAGTTTATGTAGTTACTTAAGGAATTGGGTGGTTTCCACGTTTTGACTATCATGAATACTACTATGAACATGCATGTACAAGTAGTTCGTGTGGACATATTGTCAGTTCTGTCTAGGAGTGGAAATGCTGAGTGATGTGTTGCAAGTTAATTCTTTGAGGAGATGCCCAACCATATTCCCAAAATGCCTGGGCCATTTTTTTTTCAATTCCCATTAGCAATGGTTCCGATCTATATTTGTTATTGTTGTACTTTTGGTTATAGCCATCTGTGTTAATATAAGTGGCAGTATCTCATTATAGATTTGCATTTCCCTTATGGCTGTATTTTCATGATTATAATATTAGCTGTTTGTGTATCTTTGGATAAACATGTTCACATCTTTTGCTCACTTCACATTTGGGTCATTTATCTTTCTATTGTTGATTTGCAAGAGTTTTTATATATTTTGGATATTAGATGCTTGTCAGATAGAGGTCTCATTCCCCCACTATCCAAGAGCAGGGTGTTCCTGCTTTCTGAAAGTTTGTGCCGTGGCACTCGGCTATTTTGAAAGACCTATGTTAGTATGGTAACAGCTTTTTTCAAACAAGTGAAAATTCTCTCATTTCTTTCGGTTAGCAAAAGCAGGTGCTAATGCCAATGTTTTCTTCTAAAGGATTCATGATTTTAGTTTCCACATGTTAGTCTTTGATCCATTTGAGTTCATTTTTTTATGTCCTATGAAGTGCGGGTGTCTTAGTTCTTTTGTATGTGAAGACTCAGTGTCCCAGAACCATTTACTGAAGTTTTTCTCCCATTGAATTGTCAAAACTCAGACTGTGAATGTGTGAGTCTATTTCTGGACTGATTGCACTTCACTGATCTATGTCCGTTTCTGCCAGTACCACACTGTTTTGATTACTGTTGCTACTTTGTAGGAAGTTTTAAAAGTGTGAGTCCTAAGTTTTTCTCAAGACCGTTGGCTGTTCTGGGTCCCTTGCAGGATCAAGTTGTGTGCACACAAAAGGCAGCTGGGTTTGATAGGAACTGTACTCATTCTATAGATCAATTTAGAAAATATTGCCATCTTGGTCTTAGAACATGTCTTAATTCCTTTCAGCAATGTTTTATATAGCATTATATAAATCTTGTACTTTTGTAAGCTTATTCCTAAGTATTTTATTCTTTTCCATGCTATTGCAAATAGAATTACTGTTAGTATGTTGATATTAGATCCTACAATACTGCTGGGTTAATTAGTTAACGGTAATAGTTTTTGTGGCTTCCTTAGGATTTTCTTTAAAGATCATGTCATCTGCCGCTAATCTGGATGCCTCTTGCTAGAACCTCCGGCACAATATTCAACAGAAGTGAGTAGTGTACATTTTGTCTTCTTTCTGAACTTAGGGGGGAAAACATTATATTCATCAGTCTTTAATTTTATTTTCTTAAATAATTTCTAATAGGTTAAGGAAGTTCCCATCTATTATTAGTTTATTGAGTATTTTTTTATCATGAAAAGGTGTTAGGCTTTGACAATGTTTACCAAATAATTGGTCATCTATTGAGATGATTATATGGTAATTGTCCTTTATTTTATGAATATGGTATATTGCATTGATTTTTTAGGTATTAAGCCAAGTTTTTGCATCCTTGAGATAATTTATATTTTTACAAATCAAATAATGTAGTAGTATCAAAAAATATATATTGATGTACTTCCAAATTGGCTAGGCCAGTGGTCAGCAAACTGCAGCTCTTTGGCCCCGTGAGTGTGGCTCTTCCACAAAATAACCACGTGTGGGCGCGCACGTACAGTGCAATTGAAACTTCATGGCCCATGCACAGAAGTCTGTTTTCGGATCTCAAAAGAAATTTTAATTGTTGTACTGTTGATATTTAGCTCTTAATTGTTGTACTGTTGATATTTAGCTCTGCTGACTAATGAGTTTGCTGACCACTGGGCTAAGCTGTTTTTAAATAAATAAAGAGGTATTAAGTGCATTTTGGCTTTATTGGCCATAAATTTCTGTAAACTATTAGGAAAGTCATTCTGCTATTACACCTTGTACTGGACTATTTTGAGGAGGAGTAGTGGTGCCCTTTTTTGTGTGTGTGTAGATTAAAATGAACTCATCTCCTAACAAAATAGCCTTTCAGTGATTTCCTTTGTCAATGCATGTGATTTAAAGCTGCTAAATATGCTGTAACTCAACATTTACCAAGTAGTTGGTCATTCATTTCACAGCCAAAAGGATTCCAGTTGAAGTAAACATTTCCATGTTGAGTTCTTTGCTCACATGTTCCATTAAAACAGCAGTTATAACCACAGGCCAACCTCATGGCCTACAAGTTGGTGACTGCTGATCTAGGCCTTTTAAAAACAGTAAGACTTTAAGATTTTTTTCAAATATGAGGATACAGAATACAATAAAGATCTATTTTTCAATATACTAACTAGTATATTAAAAGTTTATTTCAGTAACATTGTAAGGCAACAATTCTCAAGTGAAACCAGTGAAAAGTAATGGACAGACATAATCATTTTTTTCTATATAGCTTCCTGAGTCAGCAAGCTGGGTTATGGCCCCCTCAGTGGTAACATTTTAAGAATCCTAGCATGCTGGAAACATACTTCATGCTACAATAATTCTTTTAGGACAACACAGTAAATTTTAATTATTTACCCTTTCCCTGAATGTGCAGTACTGTGCTACTTACATTTAAATTCTGTAGGAAATCATGTATTTTAGAATTTGCGAAGACTCTTAGTCAAATGATCAGATACTAAAAAAGAAAACATTCTAAAAAAGAAAACATTCTTTAATTTCAGAGAGCTTCATCTAACAGTGGTGTGCTTATTAACAGAGCCATGAATATCAGATTTAACCATTTCTGCCATTAAGTCAATATCCCAGCATATTAAGCATCCCAAAGATTTGTTACCAACCTTGCATAATATGAAAGCTTTATAATATTAAAGCCTAAACATAATTGTTTACATATGAAGGTACAATTCAAGGGCAAAAAGAAAACCATGATTGTTACTGAAAAAAGGAGTAACAACATCCTTCCCAAAGAAAACTGATCACAAGTAACACATTTGGGCTTTTACCTTTCTCCCCCCCCCCCCTAAAAACAATTTCAGATTACTCACAAAAATATGTTTGTTGTACAGTCATCCCTTAGAACCCAGGTGGGATGGTGTGTTAAACCACCCATTTATAAAACAGCATAGTATTTGCATATAGCCTACGTCCATCCTCCCATATACTTTAAATCATCTCTACATTACTTATACTGGTAATATCTAATACAATGTAAGTAGTTGTTATACTGTATTTTTAAGGAAAAAAAGTCTACATGTTTACTACTGACACAACTATTGTAGGCCTAACAACTTAGTCCATGTCAACAATAACTTTTTTCCCTGCATATTTTCCATCTGTGGAACCTACAAATATGGAGGACTGACTGTATTTCATTGAGCTATTAAGTTTCTAACTTTTCCTCCACAACTGTGATTCCATACAAGCTATAAACACAAGTTTATTACCACCCGCCTGACATAAATGTGGCAGGAGTCAGGCACTTGAGGCTAATAATACGTGGATTCTACAAAGTAAAAAAAAAAAAAAAGCAACGACTCCAGTGTCCATGCATGTCACAGCCAGCATGTCATCACTCAGCTCTGGCTGCAGCCCTGTTTGTGTGGGTCCAGTGAGTTTTTAAGAGCCACAAATCAGGCAGGCGATATGAGGAGCATGATTAGAAATGATATCGTGTATCGCACAATAAGAATTTCCTCCCGTGATACATACTTACTCTCTGTTCAAATGGGTCCAAGTGCCAATTTTTACTGTGGCTTTAAAAAGAAATTTTTTTCAGGGGGGGAGAGGGGAGTTGCTTAGTTAGAATTTATCCGACTTTTTACATCTTAACAGAAAAAAGAAAGCTAGCAAAATTAGTGATCTCACCAAGCCCTTCCACTGCTGACGCCAGGGGCACTGCTGTGATATGCTCACAAGCCACCTTCTTCAAAACAAAAAGCACCTCTGAAGTCCTAGGGTTGCCATTATGTAGGAGGGTCTGAACCCCAACAGCTACAGGGAAGCCAGTTCTGCTGGACAGTAAGTTACTGAGAAAGCAATCTGTTCAGCTGGTTAGAAAACAGACAAAAATAAGGACCCCATGCATCAATAAAATTACGCCCTTAAGGATTAACCTTGGAAAATTCCCTTCTACAAAACAAAGAGAATAAGTATGTATACAATGCTCAGTCACTATTACCCACCCACCTCCCTCCCCCCAGAACAGCCGCTATGGCAACCGGCTCTGAAGCAGGAAGTGCAAGTCCTGTACTTGCACAAACAACTGACATTCTGGACCGTGAGAACGGGGGCAGAGAACCGGTAAGGTGGAGGGGGCGGCCAATGTTTCAGAGGAAAACTGGCATTGCAACATGGACTGCACTGACCACCCCTCAGTAGCTAGGAGCCACCAGCTGAATGCCGGCTTCCACACCGGGGGTCCCGGGCTCCAGCACACGCTGGAAGCTGCCTGAAGCACTTCGCCCCGCTCAGGCTGGCGTCTCAAAAGCCCCATGCTGCTTCCCGTCCTTCCTTTTGTAATAGTTTCCTAGTGACCTACGGTAGGCCTCCAGGGAACCATTACTCCGCTGACTGGCAATTTACCCACCATCCATGACACAGCCAGTGGTCTTGGACCCTCATTGGAAATGTCGTGTGTCTCATTAACGATGGTGTTGAAGTACTTTCCGCATCTGTCGGGACCCTCGGGGGACAGCTGTCGCAGTGGTCTGTTGGCTTTTGTCCGTGAGTCTCATAAAATGACATGTTAGTGCAGTGGTAGTACCCACGTGTGCTTGGGCGCCAGAGAGCTGGCATTTTCAAGTTTTAAAAAGGCCTTGTGTCACTGCCCCCCCCCAAAACTTACTAAAATTCACTGGCTTACATTACAAATGTCCGTGTAGCATAAGGAGAGGCCCTGTCGCCTGCGGGGTCCCTCGGGGCGTTTACGCGGAGCTCATTCACAAGGTTAAAACGCATAGAGGTCGTAGGTGCACACCCAGGCAGAAGGGAACGTCCAGTCTGGGAACTTCTCTTTCAGAGCGTCCAGCTGGGAGGACCGCTTGTCTTCCCCAGAAAAATAGTGGGCAGCAATGGCCACCGTGACGGCCCCCTCGGGCTGCTCCTCCCGGACCTGGCAGAGAGAGGGCGTTAGTTTTCTAGCTACAAAGTGAAGGCAGAATACTGATGCCAACTCCCACCTGGGAAGCTGACCAGTGAAGCCAGCAGGGCTGGGAAGTTCCCACCTGCACTTCTATCCAGAACTGCCACGCGGAGGCTTGGAGTCCATGGGAGTAAAAGACGAAGTAGTCGCCTCCTTTACTTGTGACTGGGGTGCCATTGCCGAGAGACCACTGAGACAGCGTGGACCCTTTGTGGGGTCGGACATACAGTGACATGTGGCTTGGTCCTGTAACGTAAGAGGAAGGCCAGTTATAACGATCTTTAAAACAGCATCGACAAGAAAAGCAAGCCACCAACCAAACCAGACTATGAAATTCATGCCTTTTATCACTTTAAAGACACTCACTGCAAACCGAATGGAGGTTTGCCAATCCGTGTAGATCAATAAAGGTTAGTAATGAGGTGCGGCAGAGACCTGGGTTCAAGTCTTAGCCTTGTCGCTGAAACATGCTAGCACTCATGAGAGCCCTTCTTCAGAATCTAGAAAATAAGCGTCATCAGACCAAGAGAGAACTGCCACAACCATCGCAAAAGAACTGACCCTGAGGATTTTATCTTTCTAAAACAGATACTGGGCGGGAAACTGCTGTGTAAATGCTGCATGGAGCAAAGCTAGTAAGCGCACTCCCCGACTCAGTGCAAGGTTAAATAATAGGTGATCAAAGCAAAAATAAACTTTCTTAAATGCCAGGAAATCTTTTTCTTAATTAAAGAACAAAGTAGACATCAAAGGAAAAGGAGTATTGCACATAAGTCACGTAACTATAAACCACTGACAAAGATCTATTCACATTTTATGACTGATGCTTTCTAACTCAGCCACTAAACGAAAAGTTTTCAGCTTGGCTTACAAAGCCAGACCAATCATGTACTATATTCAAGGAATATACTTAAAGAGATATATTCCTTTTACAAAAAGGGTAAAAACAAATGTATGAGCAAAGGTATTATAGGCAATTGGGACACAAGGTTAAAAAGAGCTCTTTGGCCGAGGCCAGTTTGGCTCAATGGATAGAGCGTCAGCTTGGGGACTGAAGGGTCCCGGGTTCGATTCCGGTCAAGGGCATGTACCCTGGTTGCGGGCACATCCTCAGTAAGGGCGTGTGCAAGAGGCAGCTGATCGATGTTTCTAACTCTCTATCCCTCTCCCTTCCTCTCTGTAAAAAATCAATAAAATATATTTTAAAAAAATAAAAAATATTTTTTTAAAAAGAGCTCTTTGATGTCACGAGAAAATAAAATTCAACACATAAAGTATTAAAAGTAAAGGCATTTTGATACTAAAAGCAGCAAGTTCACATAAAAACTGTTAGTTCTGTACACCAAGTAATAGCAACTATTTTATGAAGCAAAACTACACAGGGGATGCAAAAATATATATAGAAATACATATAAGACTATAATATTTTACTGTAAGACATCAGTTGAACAAAATATAAATGACCTAACCAAAATGATCAGTGAAATAGACCATATGAAATCTATCAAATTTTACATGCTGATGATACAGATATATATCATTTCAGGTGAGCGTAAAATGTTAGAACATTAAAATAGCAAAATTCTATAAAATTGAGATTATAAATAACATTGATTATAAATCAAAGCTTGAAATTATCAACAAAACAAACCAGCCTTCTACCTGGAAATTAAGGGTGTTCTACTTAAAAGATGCATGGGTAAAAGGAAATAGAAACAAAAATTCTGGAATATTTTATAATATAAATACTACATATACCAGAAACTATTGGACACAGGTAAATATAGCAATAAACATTGTTTTCAATAAAATGAAAAGTATGTAAAAGAACAAAATAAAAAGCACAAGTTAGGAAATATTATAGACAAAATCAGAAATCAATGAAATGGAGAACAGAACAAAACAGATCCACCTTTAACAAAAGTCTGTTACTATTTTAAATTCAGACAATCACTAGCTAACTTGTTAGGAAAGAGGCATTTGGGAGAGCGGGGGGAGTGGAGCAAAAACAAGTATGCAAAAAGAGAAATAAAAGTAAACAGAAGTTTGTAAATCACATGTCACTGCTTTGAAGAACTCTACACTAATAACTCTGAAAACGCAGATGAAATGGAGATTTTTCTAGGAAAAGACAGGCAACCAAAACTGAACACAGAGCTGTAAAGCTGAAGCAGACCGATTACCCAGAAAAATACATAAAGCTGCTCCACAAAGACACGGGTGGTTTCAGAGAGGAATTCAGGCCAACTTTTCAACCAAGTGGTTCCAATGCTCCATAAACTTCCAAAGCATTGAAAATTAAGGAAAACCTGCCAACTGCTTTCATGATGTGTGACATTTATGCTTTTACATTTATAATGCATAACACTAGTACTTAAATCTGATAGAGTAATAAAACACACACACAGACCTATATACACTGAGTGGCCAGATTATGATGATCTCTGAATGCATAATAATCTGGCCACTCAGTGTATATCTTATATAATAAAAGGCTAATGTGCAAATTGCCCCCTCAACCAGGAGTTTGACCAGCAGGCAGGCCCATGTCTGCTACCCCTGGCCAGGCTAGCCAGACCCCACCCATGCATAAATTCATGTATCGGGCCTCTACTATATATATGTGCACACACACTCACACCCTCTGAGTGGCCAGATTATTATGCGTTCAGAGATCATCATAATCTGGCCACTCAGTGTAATTCATGAAATATGCAAAATTTCTGAAGAAAATATTAGCAAACATCCAAGATCACATTAAGAAAATAACAGGCCATAACCTAATGGAATATGACATATCAAAATATCCAAGGAAGAAAAGACCTATGTTTATCTTTACAGATAGCTAAAAAAAATTAAAAATTATTAAAAATTATTTTTTACAAAATTAAAAATTCCTTATTTTAAAAAATATTTCAAGATGTGCCAACTGATGAATGCTAAACATGATAAAAAAATCATCTATCATGGGAAAAACTATAGACTTTGCATAAGAACAAGGCAAGAATGCCCCTGTCTTATTAATACTTCTAGCAGCTGTTCTACACCATGCTAGAAGTATTAATCACTTAATTAGAGGCATAAGAATTGGTAAAGAAATACTACATTTGCAGATGATATGCAGTAGTCAACAAGCTATATTTTTGTATAGCTTTCAGGATAAAAATGGTTTGTTTACTTAATTAATCTCTTGTTTTTATTCAGTTCCTCACCTGAGGGCTTTTTTTTTAAGTTAAATTTAGAAAGAAAACATCGGTTGCATCCTGTATAAACCCCAACCAGGGACTGGACCCACAGCCTAGGTCTATGCTGACCGGGAATTGAACCTGGAGCCTTTTTGGTGTACAGGATGATGTACCAACCAACCGAACCACTCAGTCACACTTAGATTATGACAATGCCTAAAATATTTACTATCTGGTCCTTTAAAGTTTGGCAATTTCTGGTATTCCTGGAGAACCCTAAAGTTTTAAGAATTGAAAAATAAAAGATTCAGTGAGATAGCATACAGAAGGCAATTGCATTCACACAAATTATAACCAGTTAAAGGTTTACTGGTAGAGAAAAATCCAATTATAATAGCAACAAAACCTAGATAAGAAAAATTTTATAACACTTTTGAGAGACAAAAAAAGTAGGTTTGAATAAATAAAAGGACATTCCACGTTCATGGATAAGGAGACTCAAAGTCACTGCAAAACAATGAAAAAAACTACAAAAGATCTTAACTGTCCCAATCATTACCTATAAGCTTCGATAATTTAAAGTGTGGTAACTGGTACACATACATACATATAAACAGTCCAAAAAACTTTTCTGATTTCTTGACATCTGCAATCACAAAACACAGGATGGGTGGTGTACAGCTTGCCTACCAGGAACCTGCCTTTGCTGGAATTCTCCAAATTGTGCATTAAAGGACAGAGGAAGATTAGTGCTTCCTATTAAATTTTCTTTTAAAAAAAAATCATAATCAGCTGCAATTGCTTTTAGAAACACTAAGCTACTGGTCACTATTACAAACCTGAGGAAAAAAACATTCATGCTTAAAAATTTTAAGAACAACAGACAAGAAGAAAACTGCCATATGACTTACCTGATGCTTCAAAGGTCAGCTTCACAGAATCCCAGGGGGTCTGCTCTTTGGATAGAAGTCTGAAGTGAACGGGTTCTCCGGGAGCAACCTCTGAGGCGGGCAGATACCAGTTTTTCCTGTTTGGAACGGAATTCCATAGTCAACTATCTCAAAAATATTTAGGATGCTTGTGTTCAGAATATTTGAAACAGATTTTTAGGGCATGAAAGTAAACTCTGATGAGTATAATCCTCATATAATAAAAGGCTAACATGCAAATTGCCCCTTAACTGGGAGTTCACCCAGGGGAGGCGGGGCCAGCCAGCCATCCTCCTGTGCCCCCCCCAATCTGGTTGGGCCGGACGGACTCCGCCCATGCACAAATTGGTGCACCAGGCCTCTAGAAATAAATAATGCCAGTTCCTCTGGAGCCCAGGTTACTGCAGATAAAACCTCCCCAAAGTTAAGAATAAAGGTTCACAAGGTGATCTTGATTCCGCTACCCAAACTATTTCTTCTCATCTCATCTTCCACTGCCAAACGCTAGGAATTTCTCAGAAACGGCCCGGGCCCGTGAAGAGCAATGGTTAGAGCACATGTGTCAAACACAAGGCCCGCGGGCCAAATCCGTCCCACCAGGCCTTGCAATGTGGCCCGCACCGCGCTGTCATCACTGCACTCCGCTGCGTTTCCATCACAATGACAGTTTATGACTGTTCAGTAAACCATTCGGCCCGCGATTTAGGCTGGATTTTAGATTTTGGCCCCTTCTCTGATTGAGTTCGACACCCCTAGGTTAGAGTGTTGTGGATTGGATTCCTGGTCAAGGGCACATACCTCAGCTGTAGGTTTGCTCCCTGCCCCAGGTTGGGGCACGTGCAGAAGGCAACCCATCAATGTCTCTCTCACACATCAGTGTTTCTCCCTCCCCCTCCCCTTCCCATTCTCTGAAAAGCAACAGAAAAAAATATCCTCAGGTGAGAATTAACACAAAAAATTTTCCCAGAAGTGAAACACACGTTTTGAACTTGATGCTTAACTGCTGTCTAGTAGCTCAGTTAAGAAGGCCGCCCTTTCTAACTACTACGCTTTCTAGAGGACTTTTCTAAATTTGAAAAAAAACAAAAAAAAAAAAAAAAAAAAAAAAAAAAAAAAGCAAAAGCAAAAGCACTCTTCCAAGTGCTTCATCCCACTGAACACAACTGCTGCAGGGACAGGAAAACACCACGGGAATGGCACTGGACTTCCGTGTTGACCAGTTCAGATGGTAAAGCGTGGATGAAGCAGCAGAGCGGGGACCCACCTGATGAGGAAGTGCACGGGGAGGTACCAGGGGAAGCCGCAGAGGGGCGCCTTCTCCTCGCAGGGCGCCCGGATGGTGTCGTTGATCTCGGGGACGTGAGGGGTGATGTGAGACATTCCCGTGTAATCAAACCCATTGATCCATATTCCGGAGTCCCGTTTAACGACTTTTCCATCCAAGTCATGAAATGTCCTTGTCATATGCTGAGAAGAACAAAACCAGTGAGAAAACTGTTTCCATCCCTTCACCCACATCCCCGCCCCAGACTAACCGGAATGAATAAGTCTGACGATAGCAGAGAAGAGGTGGCTGTGGGGCAGCCACAGGCACGCTCGCACTCTGCTGGAGGCAGTGTGTGCCGGCACGGTCCCGTTAGGACAAAGGGAACATGCACATCCCTCTCCTAACAGTCACCTTGGAGAAACCTCTGCACCGCCCACCTTAGCAAAGACCGGAAACAACCCAGATGTCTGTTAACAGTAACGTGAGCAAACTGGGCAGTCATCCCACAACAGAAGTCTGCTCAGCAAGGAAAGCAATGCACCAGTGTGACACAAATCAACACGGAAGATTCTCCCTCACATGCTCTGGGGCAGAAGACTGTTTATGGAATGGCTTTACCTGTAAGAAATTTAAAAGCAGGCAAAACTGCCGAAACCGGTGTGGCTCAGTGGATAGAGCCCCTGAGGCCTGCAGCCTGAAAGGTCCCGGGTTCGATTCCGGTCAGGGGCATGCACCTTGGTTGCGGGCACATCCCCAGTAGGGGGTGTGCAGGAGGCAGCTGATGGATGATTCTCTTTCACCGATGTTTCTGACTATCCCTCTCTCTTTCTCTCTGAAGAATCAATAAAACATATTTATAAAATAAAAATAAAAGCACGCAAAACTATGTGTTGTTGTTTAGGGATTTTACGTATGTGGTAAAATAAAGGAAAGTAAGGTAATGACTTAAGGTAATAACTTCAAAATGTCGGGCGAGTGCTGCTGTAGGGGCTGGGAAGAGGGAGAAAGGGTTGGATCAATAAGGGCCCACTGGGTTTTCTTAAGTGCTGTTAATGTTCTTCCCTTTAAACTCGAAGATGGGCTGTTTCATTATTTTATTATTTCTTACAAATATATTTTGACTTTTTCATTTTTTTCTTACAAATTTATTTATATATTTAAATTTCATATAAATTCTGAAAACCATGGCCACTAGAAGTCCTTTTAGATAAGGACTTACATAGTACAACACACATTTCCCTTTCAGTGTTACATGAGACTAATTCATGTGCAGAGAAACATGGGAATCACAGCACACCAGTATGGGACAGACTTGTGCTTAACAGAATTCTGGAAAGGGACACCAAATTCCTTCTGGAACAGACTTTTTTTTAAGTATCAATGCATAAGTAGCTTTCTTTTTTTTTTCTTTTTTTTTTTTTTTTTTTTTTTTTTTTACAGAGGGAGAGTTAGAAACATCCATTAGAGAGAAACATCAATCAGCTGCCTCCTGCACACCCCCTCCTGGGGATGTGCCCACAATCAAGGGCAAGTGTTAACATGCCCTTGACCAGAATTGAACCTGAAACCCTGAGTCCACAGGCTGACACTCTATCCACTGAGCCAAACCGGTTAGGGCTGGAATAGCTTTATTAATAACAGAAAGCAGCCTGAAGAATATCATACAGGAGAAGAAATAGGGTTGCAGAGGGCTTAGGTACTATGTGTGGCTGCTTTCACTATAAAAGACAAAACAAAACAAAACAGCAGCTGGAAGGCCTTAAAATACTATCTGGCCCTTCACAGAAAAAGTTCACCAAGCAAAGCCCAATTCCAATCAGAACAGGAATTTTTAAAAACAAAACTCTGGTTTGTGCTCAGTAGTACTGATTTAATTAATTAGATCACGCAAATTTAATTATTTATAAACAAAAAGACATTCTGTTGTATTTATATATTTATATATTTAAATTTCATATTAATTCTGAAACCTGGAACTAATATTGAATGTTAATTATGCTTTTAAATTGAAAACATTTAGTAAGTCACAGAAAACATTAAATCTCCTAAAAATTAGCTGTTCTCACCCAGCTGGTGTGGCTTAGTGGTTGAGTGTCGACCTATGAACCAGGAGGTCACAGTTTGATTTCCGGTCAGGGCACATGCCTGGGGCTGCCGGCTCAATCCCCAGAAAGTGCCATGCAGGAGGCAGCCGATCAATGATTTCTCTCATCACCAATGTTTCTCTCTCTCCCTTCCTCTCTGAAATCAATAACTTTTTTTTTTTTTAATTAGCTGTTCTTCACCAAAGGTTTTTTGCAAACTGTAAAATGTCACATAAAATGTATCACTATGTCCTCCAGTATATAAACAAGGACTAGTTGGCCCTTTTTCAAAATCTCCCTGATATTTAAGTTCAAATGTTGTTATTACTTATGCCAGTCCCTGAGTAATGACCGAGGCTGTGACCCAGCTTTTCTGTGGGGCTTTCCCTCCACCTCTAACAGAGAACTGTAAATAAAGAGACTGCTTTCTGGAGCCAGTTCTAAAAGTCTGCAGAAAAACTTGAAATGTAAGAAAATTCCAAATTTCACTTTACTGAACGCTTTCTAAATTACTGTATGTTCATTGTCTCGTATTGCTTTGAGTGTTAACTAAGATCGGTTTTACCAGCATTTAAAAATATCTGTTTTAGGCCCCTGCCAGGCCGCTCAGTTGGGTTAAAGCAGCGGTCACCAACCGGTGGTCTGTGAGGTCTGAAAGGTTGGCGACTGCTGGGTTAGAGTGTTATTCCCATTCACCAAAATTGTCAGTTCGGTCCTTGGTCGGGGCACATAAAAGAATCAACCAATGAATGCATACCGCATTTTCCGGCGTATAAGACGACCCCCCAATTTTACAGTTAAAACATAGGTTTAGGTCTATATTCGCTGTATAAGACTACCCCCCACTTCCGAGGCAACACCAGTTCTTTTTTTAATAGACCGCCTCTCTAACTCAGCCAATCCAAGCAGGCTTTTTACTAGAACACAGTGTAGCTTCGGGTACAGAACGTGTGTAATTTGCATGCATAAAAAGCCTGCTTGGATTGGCTGAGTTAGAGAGGCGGTCCGAGCAGCCTTGCAGTGATTGGTGCGGGATCGAGTTGGAAAATTTGTTTAGCGGCATATCCAGACGTTTTTTGGGATATACTCGGCGTATAAGACGACCCCCGATTTTCGGTCGACTTTTTTTCATTTCAAAAGTTGTCTTATACGCCGGAAAATACGGTAAACAAGCAGAACAACAAATCAATGTTTCTCTCTTTTCCTCCCTACCTTCTCCTTGCTCTCTCCCTTTCTCCTCTAAAATCAATAAATTTAATTAATAGATAAATAAAATACCAATTTTATTTTGCCAGTGGATAGTTCAGATTTTTACTGGCCTGCAGAAATTCTTACAATCTGTACCTCTAAAAGCTCATTACCCCATGGTATTTTTCAAAGTGGGTGCATTCTTACAATGTGAACAGTAATAAAACAACAAGCAGATATTTCCAATTTGGCCTCTTGGGAAATATCTACTGGTAGTAGCTGATAAGAATGCCTCTTGATGGTCAGTCTTTTCCTCACTGTCGTACACAGAATAGTCGAGTACAGCTCAATAGGTCAGCGGCAGGAATGTCCGCTGGTTTTCCTGTTGACTAGTGAAGCCCAAAGCGCACAGGCTTCCCCTCCAGAATTCCAAATAGCTCATGCAGAGCTGCTCTTACCTGGAGAAACACCCTCTTCGGCTTCGGGCTGGCGGGGTCGGAGCTGTACGGGAAGAAAGTTCCACTGCAAACAAGCAGGAATGTGACCGCACACACCAGAGCGAGAGAGAGCATGGTTTTCTGGGTGCTTTTGGCAAGGTAGATGAAGTTAATCTAAAACGCAGAAACGGGGGAAATTACCGCTGGCAGAGAGGTGGCTGTAACTGACTATTCTGTGACGGGCGTTACACGGCAGATAGTGAAGAAAACTTGTCAGCGCCCAGTGCTAACATGCCCCCAGTAAACAAAGACCGACTCTAAGGATTCCATCACACTCAGATCCTAGATGAGGTGCCTTTCCCGCAGACCGCGGGGGGAGCCAGAACGGTCTGTGTGTCCGCTCGGCTGGCAATGAGACTAGAGGATGCAGATCCATCACCAAACTGCGACCTCATTTTGTTTCCTGTTCTGTCAATGTGCTGTTAACACAGATGCCTTCACTACCAGCACTTCGTGACGTCAGGCCTTATCTAAAGAAACGGGGGTACGCTTTTAGGCCCATTTCAATAAAACACATTTCACTCACAATGCTTTTATAATATGCCAAGGTGCTGGATCCCTTTGGATGGACTTTCAAGACTTTCCTCCTGAACGTGAGGAAAAACTACAACACAAAGTAATAGTGTCCCTCCAGGCGTGGGCACGAGAGCGTCTCAGTCTCAGCGCAGCAGCCAAAACCCTAAATATGCTTATTAACTGTAATGAAATCACGGGATTAAAAGTTATAGGGGACACACGTGACTCAGATGCCTTAGGGAACCCCTCTGAGAAACAATGATCTAATCCCAGCTTCCCCTTTTGTCCTCTCCTTATTACCCACCCTCTAGGGTCAATAAGTAGAAAAGAACATAAATATGAAAATACTTTTGAAATGAAAACAGAAAATTAAGCAAATATTCATAACCTACCATATACTCTACTGCATAAAATTAAAGAATCTATAGTGTACCAATATCCCATTCAGTGTACGCTCCAGCAAAACAATACTCATCTTAGACAACGGATCTTATGTCCTTACACTGTGAGCACAGCACTAAGTTCCTCAGGTCTCTAAGCAGTGAGTTAGCAAAACACAATCTGCTGCCCCATTTCACCGGCAGAACCATGACAGCCGCGCACAGCACCGGCAAATCCCCCGGAGCCCTGCTCACCGATCACTTGACAGGAATTCAATTGCTTTCTAGCAAATACATTTAACAAGTCCCTTGGGACTGAAAGAAACGCTCTCCGAAGCATGCTTTGTGTTTCAGTTTTCCATTCCCCAAGGAGAACGGCTCACCCTATTAATAAGCCACTATCCTTAACAGTCCACACACAAGAAAATAATGGGAATGAGAATCCACAGCATCAAAGAGCAGCAGAGCTATTTCACGTAATGAAAATTATATGAGGTTTTAATGTATTCTAAGAGGCACTTTTTCAAATCTATTTTTATTTATTTCAGAGAGGGAGAGAGATAGAAACATCAATGATGAGAGAATCATTGATCAGTTGCCTCCTTCACGCTCCCTACTGGGGATCGAGCCCGAAACTCCAGAATATGCCCTTGACCAGAATCGAACCCGGACTCTTCAGTCCACAGGTCAACGCTCTATCCACTGACCCAAACTGGTTAAGTGCCAAGAGGCACTTTTAATAAAATCAAAGCTTCCTTAAGAAAATATAATTTGTAAGATAATATACTTTAATCCCCTTTCTTATGATCTCCAAGATTCCATGCTTTGGGGTCGTTTTCGGTTTCCACAATGAGGTTCTCAGAGTTCACCTTGAATCCTTCCCTGTGGAACAGAGATGACTGTCCATTCACTGACTACGTTCATGACGCAGCTGACTCTAGATTAGAACCTTTCAACAAGGCAATATTCTTCACAACAGCAAACCTATCTAGGAATGTGTACAGAGGATTTAAAGGCTTAACATTGAAACCAAAACACACAAACCCTGAAGGCAATAAGAAACATTGTAGGATTTTTCCATCCATCTCGGCAAATACCAGTAAGGACTTAATCGTTATGTTAAAGGGAAAAGGCTGGGACTGGCTCAGATTTTTTTTTAGGATTAGTAGAGCTGACTGCAAACAACAGAGTGTGTAGGAATCTACAGGACTGTGTGTGCTGCGTATACAGCTCCTTACTGGCCAGTGAGGGATGGGCATGGATAATGCTGGTCACGCAGGTGGTATGCTGACCTGCTGTCACTAGATCCTAACGTCCTCCACACAGATGCCCTTCACTGAAGCGAAGAGGAGAACGCTCACTGTCCTCTCCACAGAGGGAAGAACACAATAAAGCCACAACCACTTTCTCTATTTGGTCCCCTAGCTCCAAATTTCAAAGTGTGCCCACGGGTACTCCGTAAGGAGGAACTCCAATGAGCAGTGCCACACTGAGAGGCCTGGACACTGTCTGCACCGCACAAGGCAGAACCCCTAACCAATGGGGTCCAGCTCATGTCCTCTCTTCCCTCTGAGAGTCCCTGGGGAAGAGAAACAGGGAGGCGAGGGTGGAACTGTCTTCGAGGGCAGAACACTGACAAAGCAAACTGACAAGCCTGTGACACGCTCATCACTGCTACCTAAAGGCATTGTGGGTGTCTCAAGGGTACATCACTCGAGGAGACAGACTCAGTTGTAAGCTAACTGGTCACGGAAAAAGCCTCATCAGCATTCGTCTTCCTTCACGCTCTCTAACAAGCACCAATAAAACTACGTCTTATCACTAGCCTCCAACGAGCGAGTTCAAAGCGCACTATCAGGCATCATTCTAAAAACTCACCACGAAGCCACCCCTACCGGGCCTCACAATGGTAATGAGCATCCTGCAGAGTCACGTTCAGGTCGTTTGAAAAGTTATTTGAAAAGTGTTATGATGAGATGAGGGCCAAAAATAACCACAAAAACCCATTCTACATTTTCTCACCCATACCAAACCCACAGTATGCACAGCCATTCACTATTTCTTTTGCTTAAGAATTTCTCAACAAATTATAAGCAACACTGTATTACAGCATGGTATGGCTAACCTCATCACATATCTAATATTAAAAAAGAAAAAAAGGAAGGAAACTTTCTTACAAAATACGAGGAGAGAATCATGGTACAGCCGGCCAGGATGGAAGCCAGCACAACGTCGGGTGGGATTTCGGAGCCACTCCGCCCGAGGATCGGGGTGAACATCTCAAACACGGCCCAGATGAGGTATAATGCGTAAAGGTAAGGGACAAACATCCCCAGGAGGTAAAAGGCAATGAACTTTCCTCGGGCACCTAGGGAAGAGAGAGAAACCACAGGCCTCTGAAACGCCCGGTGAGATAAGGGGTTTTATAGTGCCGGCGTGCCCTGGCCCCTATCGGGAATTGGGCTCGGTGTGACTCTTGCCCCTTTGGTTCACGTTTTCCAGTGAGATAAAACACTTTCCCTCCGAGAGGCTAAAGTACAAATAACAAACAAAAAACACATAAGAAATATATTAGCATGTGTACATAAATGTGAAAATGGGATAGGGTGTAAGGTATGAGATAAAAAACCTGCGTGATCTGGAAATTAAAAAAATAATAAAAATTAGAAAACCTTCCCAAAAAGATGAAATAGTCCCCCAAAGCCTTGTCTTATGTGTTCTCGGGTGTTTTCCCATTTGCATCCAAACCAAACACACCGTACCGCGCTGCCGGAAGTCCCTGTGCACGCAAAACTTGGTGAGCAGCGGAAACGCCACCCACACGGCACTGATGAAGGCCGAGCAGAGTCCTCCGTAAATGAGCGCTGTGAGCGTGCCGCAGTTCACAAACAGCGCGATGTCAAAGAATACTTCTCCCAGATACTGGTCACTGGCGTTCTGAAAGAGAGGACAATACTCCCGAGTCTATTCCTGGGCCACTCATAGAGATACTATTGTATAATAACATAATCCCCACTGCTCAGAGAAGCTACACACGGTAAGTGCGGTCTGGCCTTTATAAACAAAGCTACCTCCTATTATGAAGCAATAAATTCAAATTGCTGCACAGAAAAGGGGAATTTAACAAGATGGGGTAAAAAACAAACAAACAAAAACATCATCACTTGTATATAACCTGTGCTTTTCCTCCACCGGGCTGTAAGTAAACTTTGAAAATGTTATAAAATAGAAAAAGGAGTCCCCTAAAAACATTCACCTCTGGAAGCTTTCCCGTTTATACAACTTCCAAAGAATTTCAGGCAAACTAGGGAAATGACCTGTGAAGGGCGGCACAGTCAGCCCTCCGTGTCTTAGGGTACTGCACTAAGTGGATTCAGCCAACAACAGACTGAAAAATTCCTCTAAATATTACATTGTTGCTGATGTGTACTGAACATGCTGCTGACTTTTTTCTTTGTCATTTTCCCCTAAACAATACAGCAACTGTTGACATAACATTTACATTGTATTAGGCGTTATAAGTAGAGGGACCACTGGTGGTCTGTGAGCTGATTTAAAGTATCAGTGAGAATGTGCTTATGTCAAATATTTCACCATTTTATATAAGGGACTTGAGCATCTGAGGATTTTTATATCCCAGCCCCCCTTCCCCATCCTTATCCCACACCCCTAATCCCCCAGGGACACTGAGGGATGCCTGTATAGGCTGCCGCAGTGCCACCAACAGCACACCAGGTGAACTGTCAGAATCTACGTCAACAACGTACAGCTTAAAAAAAAAAAAAAAAAAAAGTGAAGGGAACAATGAAGAAAACTTTAAAACTTTAAGTGCAGCTGTAAGTGCATTATTCTTTTTAAAAAAATATATTTTGTTGATTTTTTACAGAAAGGAAGGGAGAGGGATAGTTAGAAACATGCACACCCCCTACTGGGGATGTGCCCGCAACCAAGGTACATGCCCTTGACCGGAATCGAACCTGGGATCTTTCAGTCTGCAGGCTGGCACTCTACCCACTGAGCCAAACCGATTGGGGCTTTGCAGGCGGCAGTGCTGTATCAGACGCTGCCTCAGCCCAGGGGATGCTAAACAAAACAATCCCTGCCCTCGTGGAGCCTACAGCCCAGTGGAGAACAGTTATTCAAACATAAGCAGCTGGCAGATTCAAGAGCAGGGTTACAACAACGGAGGCAGACGCAGCAGTGCTATCACCCCTAACACCCTTACCGCTCGGTCACATGTGAAGTCTGCAGGAAAACCTTCAGACCAAGAAGCCTTTCGGAAATGCAACACAGCTCTGGGAGCCAGTGTCCTATGACCATGCCATCCAATTTTTGGTGGCTCAAAAGGCCAAGTCCGGCCATGTACGTAATCTGTGCTTTTCCTCCCCCGGGGAAAGCCACACTAGGAAGTCGAAGACACACATCATTACGATGGCAGTTCCATCGCATTATAATGAGCTGAAATGTCCTGTCGCCTCGGGACATCACAATGCACCGCCCAGCCTCTGTGTGACGCTGCGCAGCCATTCTGTGAGCGCACAGCACAGGCGGTTCCTGCAGCAGCTACACCACCTGGGTTTGCGTATGTGCGCTGGATGAGCTTACACGATGATGAGACCGCCTAATGGCCTTTTCTAGAATGCATCCCATATGCTAAGTGGCCCATGACTGCCCAACGAGTCCCATGATTGAGTTTGTCTTCAATCCTTGAAGGCAGCAAACAGAAATCGATAAATGTGCTTACCACTTACCACATAATAAAATCTTTTTGCGAGGGTGTGTATGAATATTATTTTGGCTGCAGCAGCAGTTCCGTAAAGACAAACGGAGACATAGAAGTGGTTGTACCATGAAAGAGACTGTCCGATCAGAGAGATGAACACGGCTATGATGAGGACGGTCACCAGGCTGGTGAACCAGCCCATCACGGTGATGCCAAGTCCACAGAAGAAGTCCTTCGGGTAGTTAGCTGCTAAGGAAGAGAAGCACAATGTGGAGACCGCCATCTGTACCACACAGTTTCACAGCCAGTCAGCAGGGTCAGAGGGGCACACGTTAAATCGGAAAATCTGCCATGTAACTGAAAAGTATTGAAACGACCCAGGGATAAGATTTGTTAAATACTAGAACAGAGAAGGTAGAAAGGAATAATATTCAAGTAACATTGACGGAGAGTTTGTGGGTGATTAAGACTCAGAGATAATTCTTTCGGGACTACTTCAGAATCACTGGGTCATCTTAATCTTTGTCCGTTCAGGATGCTTTGTGTATCGAACTCTCAGCAAGAATGGAAAACAAAGCTCCCCCTAAAATTTTGCTGAAAGAAGCTATCCTAGGAAAAGCAGCAGCACAGAGAATAACTGGTGAGTAAATTAGCTGCTGAATATTTTATCTCTTGACAGCAGATACCTGCTTAGACTGTAAAGCATTTTAAGCAGAAGGGGGCCCATGTAACTAGCGGCAGTTCCCTCACACTTCAGAACAGTGTGCTGGTGGTCTGCAGTGCGGACCTCATGCTTTCGTGGGGTTTTTCACTAAAAGTCCATCTGCACAAACCAGTTTTCAGTAGTTCCTATGCAGTACTTCTGAGACATGCATTAGCACATAAAAACTACCTGTTTCACCAAGACTAAACACATAATGAGCACATTAATCTGATATTTATGAAGAGGTTTCTTACGTTACAAATCAAATAGTATTTTTTTTTAGGATTTTCAATGTCTTGGAAAGATAAAGCAAACTGACCAAAAAAAAAAAAACTTCCAGCAAATTCTACACCCGGGCCAGGACTGTGGTCCTAGGGGAAAATACTCACTGTTGTGTTTGGGCTGCAACAACTTTTTGCCCAGGTACAGGACAGCAGCCGCCAGCACCATGCAGTTAATGATGGAGCCGACCCGGGAGGGATAGGCAATGACAAACAGGCCGAGCACATCAAAGAAGACCATGTTCCCATGCCGGTACTTAGAGGAAGAAACCAACACATCAGATGTAGCTAGATACTTAAGAACTGCTAAAATGTTGTCACCTATCAGTAAAGAAAAGAAAGATAAAGTTGAACAAGCCATCCAGTATCTGAGTCAAGAAAACACCTATCAAGAACGTGATAAGAAATAGCTTTCTACCATCTTCTTGCTCAGCCCCACTTTCTTACTAAATTTTTCAAATAAGCTCCAAGCTCTCCACCTATAAACTCTGCCAAATGGCCTTCATCCTCTCCCTTCTATTAGAACTGTATTTACTGTGATCAACCATACCCTTGCTGTTGACAAACTCAATGGCTGTTCCTTGGTGCCTGTTCACTTACTATATATGTAATGCAAGCCAACGCTGCTCTAGACACCACAATTCAGTGGTAAGCCCAGAGATAAAACCTCTCGTGAAGCTCACGGACACCACACCACAAGTTAGTATAAAAGTTATTAAGAGTTAATAAGGAATGTCAATTGTATCTGAATAAAAATAATTAATAAGGAGAGGTAACAGAGGTCCCTAGAAATAAATCGTGGGAGACTAGTGGAGTCTGGGGAGTCAGAGAAGCATCCCGGAGGAAGTGGTGTGTGTAGCTCGCACAGTGGGGGGACTGTCGAGCCAGAACTGTGGAGAGGCAGGCCCTGAGGAGGGAAAGCCCCAAATACAGAAACAGGAGTCATGAATGAGGAGACAGACTGCTCTGCAATGATGGGGAGGGTCATTATCATGCAGAGCCTGGCACATCAGAGGTAATGAATGTTTGCTGTGTCAATGAGAGGATGAATGAGTTTGAGCTTTAGCACAGGAGTAACGAAAAGCCTTGAATGATTGGCAATTCCTCCACTTGCCCATCCCATCCCTGACTTTCTCTTCTTTTCACTTCAGACACCACACTACCTTACCACAGGATTTCTTACACTGCCTCCCGGGCTCCCTACAAATGTGTAAATGGGACTTTAAAAGCTCAAGTGTAATCCTCTACCTTTGCTTTGCTCTCCCAAAAAAACATTTCCATCCTCCATACCTGTTTTTGTTTTCTCTATGCTGTTCACACCCAAACCCATATGCCAGGCTCCTCCGAGAGCTCTAAACGGCCTGTATGTTCCTCTGGTTGGTTCACAGACGCCCCCGTCCTATGGGTCTCACAGGGTTCCTGGTGTCCTTCCCTTCCCTGTTCCTGATCTGGATGAGGCTCCCACAACCTTATTACAGTCCATAGCATCGTCTCTCCTAGCCAGCTAAGCTTTATATTTTGCAATCATTGTTGCTGCCATCCATCTGATTCATCCCTTCTATCTAACTTGTCAAGTCTTGTTGAATTTACATTAAAATGAATCCCCTTTCCTTTCTATCTTTTGTCAATACCACAGTCTAAGTCCTCATTGTTCCACACTTAAATTATTGTCTCCCGGCTTCAATTACCTCATTCAAGGCTCTCCTCATTCTTCACCGTCCACTCCCGAGAGCATCGTGAGACTCACAGCATTTAGAGCCATCATTCATTCATATACTCAGGCCTTTCAATATCCCTTATTTCTCCTGGCTGATTTGTAAAGCTTTCTACCATTTTCTCTACCCTCACACTTCTACCTCATTTCCTTTTATTGCTGAAAATACAGCTTCCATTAGACTGCCATCTGTCAGTCTACTCACCACCAGCTCCCACAACCACAGCTCACAAGCACACCGGACCCCGTGTTGTGCTCTTACTGGGAATGTTGGGAATGGAATCCCCACTAGGCCAAATCTCCACTCTTTAAGGCTCAGTATCAGACTTACCTCCCCTCACCGCACCACCTCTCTCTGGAGAGCACGTGAGCTCCCTTGCCGTGTTCTCCTGACACGTGTCCTCTAACCCTCACCACCCAACCTTGGATCGATGTAACTTTTTTGCACCTGGACAAGATACCCAAATGTGTTGGTGCCACCTCCAAAGCACAGCTTCCATTTTAGCTAGATGGAATCCTAGATAACTCAGCAATCCCACCACAACCTTGGGTCAACCCCTTTCCAACTCCCCACCATGAATAATCTAATCTAGTCTTCCAAGCTACATTTAAGTCCTCGGATCTCTAACTCCAAAGCCCCAGCTCATTCACACCATACACTGCCCCCTAATGCTCGGGCCACGAAATATTTATGGATTTATAGCTCATCCCTAATATTCCACCTTACCATGTATGAAAGGTCTAAATTGGAATACCAACCTGCTCTCTGAATGGAATCTGTTAGAATTCTGTCCGCTGTGTCGTACTTGGTGTGATAAATGTATCCATTTTCAATAAAAGCTAAGTCTATTCCTAAAACATACACACAAAAAAAGGTCATTTTGCTTTAAAGCTCAACTTGATTTAGGCCTATTTATTTAACGTATTAAATTCCTAAAAGACAAAATGTCAAAGCAGCAGCATGATTGTTTTGTCCCATTTATGAATGAAATCCCCTTCCAAATGCTTACAGGATCTACAGCTGTGGTTTATAATTCAAAACACGAGTGAGGAGGCACACGACTGCACATTAAAGTCCCACAGCAAGGAGCAGGAATGCCGAGCTTGGGACATCCTCGAAACTGCCACCTACAGCCTTGCCAGGCCAGAGCCAAATTTAACTTCAAATGGGCGGTACAGTCCACCAAGGCTGCTGGCAAAGCAAAACGGCAATGAAAGTCAAAACCCCCCGAACGATCTACTACTATCTTTTGGGAACGAACTGCCGAACAGTTCTCCTGTGGCACTGTGGGGCCAGGTGACATGTTCTAAAAAAGGCAAACACTTTAGAGCAGAATTTAAAAGAAAAGGAAAATACCAGAAGCTTAGTTTCAGTGAGTCAGGATGCACAGCCCTCACAGAAAATGTGCTCAGAAAATGCTGTCTACGCACAGACTTCCAAAGTGGAAAACTTGCTATGAATTAAGCGTCGTCACGCTGTAGCCCACAACTGACAGAATACCTGGAATGTTCCCAAAGTCCCTGTAGATGCGGAAGTCGGTGTCTGAAGGAATGATGCCACTCTGGAAAACTTCCTGAGCCACCACAGACGCAAAAGGATGTTTGGCTGTGGAAACGTACGCTTGGACCAACCAAGGATTTTCAGGACCTGAATGAAATGAAACATGACAACATAACCTTTCAGAAAATAAAATTATTTTTAAATATAAAATAACACCATAAAAAGTTTTGTTTAAAAATTAAACACTCAAAAGTCCCATCATCCTAACTTTTCAAATCTTCAATTTTTTTTAAAATATATTTTTATTGATTTCAGAAAGGGAGGGAGGGGGGAGAGAAACATCAATAATGAGAATCACCGATCGGTTACCTTCTGCATGCTCCCTACCAGGAATCAAGCCCATAACCCAGGCACATGCCCTTGACTGTAATCGAACCGGGGACCCTTCAGTCCGCAGGCCAACACTCTATCCACTGAATTCAACCAGCGAGGGCCATTATCTTCAATTTTTTTTTAAATGTATGATCGTGTATATGTAGCTATACTCACAGGGTATATATAATTGTAAATTGCTCGTTTTAAAAAATATATATTTTATTGATTTTTTTTTTTTTTTTTTAATGGAGAGGAAGAGGGATAGAGAATTAGAAACATCGATAAGAGAGAATCATCGATCAGCTGCCTCTTGCATAACCCCTACTGGGGATGAGCCCGCAACCAAGGTACATGCCCTTGACCGAAATCAAACCTAGGACCTTTCAGTCCGTAGACCGATGCTCTATCTACTGAGCCAAACCCATTTCAGCATAAATTGCTTTCACTAAACATTATGTTCAATGCTTTTCCTATGTTGCTGGATATTACAATGGTCATTTCACTAACTGCAAATCACCGAATATACCACAAAGTTCCTTCTTACTATTTATAACTTTTATCATTATTAATAACTAGAGGCCCAGTGCACGAATTTGTGCACAGGTGGGGTCTGGCCGGCCTGCCTGGATCGGGGCCAATCAGGCCAGGCCAGCCTGGGGGAGGGGCCACAGGTAGTTGGTTGGCTGGTCTGCCCCCAATTAGGGGCAGGGCTGGCTGGGGTGAGGGGCTGCAGGTGGTTGGCCAGCTGGCCCCGCCTTCTGGTCAAAATCCCAGTTGAGGGAATAATTTGCCTATTAGCCTTTTATTATATAGGATTCTGCACTCATATCTTCATACATATACAACTTTTTTCAAATGTGGCCTTTTTCTCTTTAGGACAGAGAGAGAAGATGTATTTTTGTTCCCAGTTCCTCCCTCCTCTTCCCATTAACTGATAATGCCTCCCTGTGGAAGCAGCCCGTACATTTCTTCACCCTGTGACCAGCAGGCTCAGCCACAGAACCGCTGTGGCAAATTAATTCTGAATGAGGGAGAATGAAACTTCACCGAGAAGACTTCTCAGAGCACCACATGGTCCATTCCTTTGGCCATGAGATCAACTCATCGCCGACTGGGGCGTCTCCTTCAGCCTGGATCTCAGCATGAATAAGACACGTGGGACAGAATAACCATGAAACACAACTTCAGTTATCCAGCAACCAAACCGTAATGCCAGGAAGAAATAAGCCTTTGCTACTTATTATAACTCACTGAGATTCAGGGTTTTTGTTACAATAAAATTTATCAAAAAGCTGATGAATGTTGACAGATAAGGTAATTGTATGCCAGCTCTAGATTTGCTTGTTGAATGTGCTCGCTCTCCCCCATCAGAAAATCTTGTTTTGCCACCACTCACTGAACTTTTCTTTTACTTTCTTTCTTTCTTATGTTTCTTTTCTCCATGGCATGATTCAGTTTTTTATTTTTATGTTTTTACTTGGGGGTTCTGGTTGTTTTTTGCTTTTATCATTTTATTTTTTCTGTTTTTAGCCTTCATTTTTCCATGGTGTTTTGAGGATTAAGTGGCATATATATATATATATATATATATATATATATATTTTTTTTTTTTTTTTAATTTATTTCCATCCTATATATTAAAAAGCTAATATGCTAATTAGACATGACGGCAGAACAACCTATATACACACACACACACACACACACAGAGTGGCCAGATTATGATGATCTCTGAATGCATAGTAATCTGGCCACTCAGTGTATCTATATCTCAAATGGGTACCAAAAGCACTCTAGACTTTTGAAGAAAATCAACCACCTATTTGCCCTGAGCTCTCTATCAGCATGTGCAAAGGGGAAAACTGATCAGGTACACGATTTATGGTATCTTTGGTATCAAATAAATGAGGTACTCAAGAGAAGTACACTGAATGGCCAGATTATTATGCGTCCAGAGATCCTAATAATCTGGCCACTCAGTGTGTGTGTGTATGTGTGTGTGTGTGTGTGTGTGTGTGTGTGTGTGTGTGTGTGTGTATATATATATATATATATATATATATATATATATATAAAACACATATATATATGTATATACACACACACATATATATGTGAAGTACTTTGAACATTTGGCATATAATAAGCACTACATAAATATTAGGTGCTGTTGTTATTATTTGGTTAAAAATTTTAACAAAGACAAGCTAAAACTATCATATGCTTTAAAAAGAATGTTCAGCCCTAATCAGTTTGGCTCAGTGGATAGAGCATTGGCCTATGGACTGAAGGTTTGATTCCAGTCAAGGGCATGTACCTTGGTTGAGGGCACATCCCCAGTGGGCACCTGATCAATGTTTCTAACTGTCTGTCCCTCTCCCTTCCTTTCTGTAAAAAAAAAAAAAATCAATAAAATACATTATTTTTAAATGTTCATTTCATTAGAGAGATAGCTTATTTTCACAAATGTTCCGCTTTTATAAAAACAAAAATTACATTAAACTATACAATGCAACTGCATTCAAATATAAAGTACATGGTGGGGCAAATGTAGATTTACAATTGTCCATATGGGGAGCAAGTCTGTTTTTTTAATTTATTTTTATTTAAAGGTGCCAGTGATGATGCTGTTAGCTGGGATTATTGTATTATATGGGATATAATACAATAATTAGTAAGTAATAATACAAGAATACAGTTTGTGTTTCATGTACTCACAACTGTAAACCTACTTTGTCCCATCCTGCAAAGCCTCACATACCTGTTTGGAATACAAGTTCTTTCCCTCCTACTCCTGCTGCCTCCAGGTTAATAAATGCACGAATTGAGTTGGCCCAGGAGTGCTGCGTAATGAAACCATGACTGGCCTGAATGAGAAAGAAAGAAAACAGAAGTTAAACAATTTGAGATTATCAAAGTCTCTATTCTGCTTAAAGACAGAACATCTATATTGACAAGGGGAAGAAGAGGAAAATAATCATTTCTTTAAAGGCAATATCTAAAGACACACATCTGTTTCTCTCTCAATGCGTCACGGCTGTGTGCAGTTTGCTGCATGGAAAGTCACCACCACAGAAAACATCCTGGTTTCCGTGAGGGCGCCAAACAACTTCCTCCGTGTGAGGCCATGCACAAGAAAGAAAGAAAAACAACAACAACAAACACGAGAAGGGACGATCCCCATGGCTGGGTGTTCATGCTGTGTGCCTGCCTCAAAACACCTCAGAAACTGCAGTCAGAGAAAACCTGAGGTGCATAATTATCCCATCACACTGACAAGAATCCAACACTGACAAGATGACCTGTTATAAGTTGAGGTTTTCAAATACTGAACATCCTATATAATAAAAGCGTAGTATGTAAATTGTCCCGACGGGGAGTTGTCCAGGAGTTCGACTAGAAGGCGGGGCTGGCTGGGGGAAGGGAGGTGGCGACAGGAGACCAGGGGGAAGGGAGGGAGCACCCACCTGGTGACCTGTGGCCGGCAGCCAGCAGCCACTAGGGACCCTTCCAGTGCACAAATTTCATGCACTGGGCCTCTAATGTATACAGAAGTGGCTGTAGAATTTTTATAGTACTGCAGGTACAATATTTCTTCTGTATATGATTTTATGATAATATTCTAATGAAGAATCAAAATGCATAAGTTATTAATATTACTATCATTATTATCCAACCCTAGTACTTACAACAGTAAAATCTTACCTGCAAAACATTTTCCTCAGCACCATTAAAGAGAAAGATGACAGCATGATGCAAGGCTTCTGAAGATGTTGACAAGACATGGAGGACTTCCAGCATCACCGAACAGCTAACAGCATCATCACTGGCACCTTTAAATAAAAATAAATTAAAAAAACAGACTTGCTCCTCAGATTTTAAAATCTTTACAGTATGAAGCATCAGGGCAAGGAATGGGGTTTTCTCATCAGGGAGCATCACAGAGCTACCAGACCAGAAGCACAGCTCCATCTGTCACCATCCTGTGACATCATACTCACCAGCAGTAAACACCACAAGAACAGGGATCTTTGGTTTGCTGGTTGACTTACTCTCAGTGTCTAGAACTATACCTAGGCCAGAGTATCAATGTCTGTGGAATAATCAACCAGATTAGATTAAATTAGTACTAAAATCTGGCATTCTCTCCTCTGGCTGGTGTGGCTCAGCTGGTTGTAGCATCATCCTATACAAGGAAAGGTCAAAGGTTCGATTCCCCATCAGGGCATAACCTAGATTTCTGTTCCATCCCTGGTCAATGTGCTCACTCGCACATTGATGTTTCTCTCTTTCTCCATCTCCCTTTCTCTCTCAAATCAATAAAAGCATGTCCTCAGGTGAGGATTAAAATAAAATAAAATCTGATATCCTCATTAACCCAAAGTACTTTATTCCCTTCTTTATCATTATTCCACATCCTCTATAATATCCTCACTTCCAGTGCTCACAGCTTCCTAGATCATTTCCCCCTGCCACCTACTCCTTTCCTGCCTGTTTTCCTGCCGAAATCATAAAATCTTCAAATCATTCGCATTTACAGAGGGGTCAGTTGGGATGGTATAACATGTTTTAAGATTTCTCCAAGGAAATGTGATTTTAAAAAAAAAAAAGTACAAAGACGACACCAAATCTAATAAGCAGAGAAGGAGGCTAATGAATTGAGTAGTATCGCGTCCTAGCACTGATAAAGCAGAGGACTTCGTCAAAGCACTTTACTTCTCCATTCGGAAGCTTTACATGTTAATTAATAAAGGTGACGATAAAGATGGCTTTAGTGCCTTGATTTTTTAAAGCACTGTAAGAGGTAAAGTAACTGATTAGATACTTGATGATATTAAGGAATTCTTTTTTTTTTAAATATATTTTATTGATTTCTCACAGAAAGGAAAGGAGAGAGATAGAGAGCTAGAAATGTCGATGAGAGAGAAACATTGACCAGCTGCCTCTTGCACACCCCCCATCGGGGATGTGTCCTCATGTTTCAGTGATTTAGACTGAAATACAGGGAAACGGATACAGCTGAGATCTGCTGCAAAATAATTCAGAGTGGCAGGGGTGGAGGTAAAGAAACAAATCAGACTGCTGAAGCTGGGTGACACTAAGCAAGTTCATTAAACAATTCGGTCGACGTAGATAGGCACAGTAATAACCCAGACAATAGCATCTTCAGTCTTACCCACTGGGAGACGGGATGCTTCAGAGTTTAGCAGGGGTTTTTTTTTGTTTTTTAATCCTTATCAAAGGACATGCGAGAGGGAGAAAGGGGGAGAAACATAGATGTGTGAGAGAAACAGCAATCCGTTGCCTTCCACACGTGTGCACAGGACGATGCTCAACCAACTGAGCTGCTCTGGCTGGGCGGGTTAGTATGGTGGTTAAAGTAAGAAAGACTTGGAAATAAATTCTAGTTCTGTCATTTACCTAAACTTCCTGGTTTGGAGAGCAGGCTACTGACATCTACCTCACAGGTGTGTTGAGAGGATTACAAAATAACGAGACCTGCATTCAATGTTAGTTTTTCCTTCTCTTTGCAAACTTAAGGAAGGCTCTGTAGCTAGGTAAAACGCTTGTGGTGGTGGTGTTAAATTCTAGGCTCCATTCCTGCCAGAGAAGAAACTACTTATTACCTATTATTACTTGTCTTGGCAGTGAATACTGAATTGCACTTTAAATCCAAGTGAAACTAAGTAATAACTACCTAACTACTATCAAACCAGAAGGAGATGTAGCAGTCAGTAAAAATTACCACCTTCCAGGATCCAAACGAAATGAATGGTTTTTGAACTCTGAGACTGTGAGTTACTTTAAATTAAAACTCAAGCCATAAAAATGTTCTTTATTCAAAGAGAAAGGGAAATAGAAAGAGACATACCTATACAGGGTTGACTTAAAAGTTAAACTGTCCATTTATCTTCCTTCATTTCAATGGTTCTGTTGTCTGAGAACAGAACCAGAGAGGGTCAAATATCTTTAAGAAAGTGAAGGAAAGTTAGAGAGCAGTATCTATAGCGGCTGAATGGATAACCAACATCCCTTTCTATTTAGAATGAACCTAGAAATTGAAGCCACTCCTAAAATAACTCAACGCCTCTTCTACCAACACCCTGGAACCATGCAGCCAATCCAAGACGACATTTAAGGCCTTTCTGTGGGAAACATTACTTCTAATGGGTAATGATCCCTAAGGTCCAGATATGTTGCTGAGAACAACTTGAAAAGAAGGCCCGGCCGAAACTGGTTTGGCTCAGTGAATAGAGGGGTCCCAGGTTCAATTCCAGTCAGGGGCATGTGCCTTGGTTACGGGTACATCCCTGGTAGGGGGTGTGCAGGAGGCAGCTGGTCAATGTTTCTCTCCCATCGATGTTTCCAGCTCTCTCTTCCTCTCTGTGAAAAATCAATAAAATATTATTTTAAAATATATAAATAGATAAATAATAAAAGAATGCCCATGTTTCAATTATAGTTCACACACTGAAAGGATTTAGGTGATCATCTATTTTATGAGTGTATTTTTTAAAACTATTTTTAGCAATTTATTATTGACAGAAATGTCCTTGGGACTGTTGGTATAGGTGATCTTATAAAATTTTAATTTAAAATGAGTTCCAATGACTCACAAAAATGCCATCCTTTCATTATTGGACTCCATATATATAATTTGTAGCATTTGGCACTATGTTTCTGATGCTTGTATGCACATCTTTTTTTATACAATGCTCTTAAATAACCTTGATGTTAATTTGTCCTGTCCTAGAATTTAAGCATCGTAATAGTGGGCACAGGGTAACACTTATTACTGCTTTGAAACAAGCATAGAAGACACTGGTTTGAAACCCTAGCACACACAAAAATATTTCTGACTTTATAAAAACAAATGGGGCCAAAACCGGTTTGGCTCAGTGGATAGCGTCGGCCTGTGGACTGAAGGGTCCCAGGTTCAATTCCGGTCAAGGGCATGTACCTTGGTTGCGGGCACATCCCCAGTAGGGGGTGTGCAAGAGGCAGCTGATAGATGTTTCTCTCTCATCAATGTTTCTAACTTTCTATCCTTCTCCCTTCCTCTCTGTAAAAATCAATAAAATAAAATGGTAATTAAAAAGCATGCTATAGACTGGCCAGTATGGCCCAGTGGTTGAGCATGACCTATGAACCAAGAGGTCACTAGTTCGATTCCTAGTCAGAGCACATGCCCAGGTTGCTGGCTTGATCCCCCAGTACAGGGAGGGGGGGAGAAGAGGGTGGGAAGGGGAAGGAGTGGTGCAGGAGGCAGCCAATCAATATTCATTGATGTTTCTCTCTATCCCTCTTCCTTCCATTCTCTAAAAAAAAAAAAAAAAATCAATAAAAACATTAAATTAAAAAAGCATGCTACATTCTAAATGCAATTGGCAAGCTTCCTGGTTAAAGATGTCCTAGGATGAATCAAGCAAATAAATGTTACTTTATATTTTGTGTAGCTCTAGATTATCATATTGGGCCTGCTGTAGTTTTAAGCAATCCAGAAATATTAATATTAAATAACAATTAATAGTGGGGGAAATGCTAAGAGAAAAGCATTATTATCTCCACAGATCAGAAACTGAGGAGAAAAGAGGTTAAGGAGATTGCCAAAGGGAGCATTAACTCTCCTTCCTATCCAATGTAGATGGAAGAACTGACTGGCCCTTCCTCTGTCTCTGATTGGTGTTGATCAGTAGTTTATTCTTGTGTCAAGTGAAGGGCGGAGAAGGGACGGAGTTTGAACCAGATGCCATCTCAGGTCTTGTCTACCTCTAGCCTGCTATGATTCCATTGTAAAACGCTACAATTTCCTATTCCTCCCTGCTTACATCTCTTTCACAATTACTAAAAAACGTTTTTCTCATGAATCTTACATTTTTTAATGAAAGTTCAATTTCGGGGGATTCTCATTCATTCAAAATATTTATTACTATGTCAGGCACTGTCGTAAAATCAAGTATCCTATTTTGACAAAGTATTTTCAGAGGAAGTTTTATGGATTAATGAGGTATTCTAACAGAACGGCACCCCCCGGGGGCTGTCACCTTACAGGTTGACAGAAACTGCTGGGAAAGGTGTCCTCCAAACCCTGTGTCTGCGAAGGCAAGGACTGCTCCTTTATCCTATGTCCCCAAAGCTTAGCACAATGCCTAGGTGACTAAACACTTAAAGAGACAGAACCTAACTCCAGAAATCAAGGACACATATTGGTAACACTGATAAAGCTGCTTCAGTCTACCACCAACATGCCATGTCCTGTCCTTGGGCTGCTGTATATATTATATATTACTAATCCTATATAATAAAAGCCTAATATGCAAATCAACCGAACAGTGGAACCACTGGTCACTATCACACGCACTGACCACCAGGGGGCAGATGCTCAATGCAGGAGCTGCCCCCAGACTGCAGGCCCCAGGCCAGCCAAGGCAGGTGCCAGCGGGGATCCCCCAATCTCCCCACCAGTCACCCCACAGATCAGCCCTGATCGCCAGCCATGCCTAAGGACCCTATCTATGCATGATTTCATGCACCAGGCCTCTAATCTATATATATAAAAGCCTAAGCAGCCATTCAACCAGTAGCTATGATGCACAATGACCACCAGTGGGCAGACGCTCAATGCACGGACATGGAAACATGGAACAGAATGATGAATATCAGAGTCAAGAGGGGATAGGGGAGGGTGGGAAGAGATTAACCGAAGATTTTATATGCATACTAGAAGCTGACCTGGCCTGCAAGGATCAGGCCAAAACCGGCCCAGTGCATGGATTCGTGCACCCGTGGGGGTCCCTCAGCCTGGCCTGCGGGGACAGGGCGGAATCCGTGCACCTGGCTCCTAACATCCCCCGAGGGTCCCGGATTGTGAGAGGGCACAGGCCATGCTAAGGGAAGCCACCGGTGCACGAATCTGTGCACTGGCCTCTAGTGTTTAATAATAATAATAAAGCACTTGAGAGAATAGCAGGGGGTTAAATCTTAAACTAAATGATACTATTCTAATTATCCTAGCCTGCCAAAACTAAAAAGGCTTGCCCAAGAAAAGGATATCCCAGAATTGACCAAGCAGCTTGGCATTCATAAGCTTTCTGGACTGGGATGACTTCAAGTACACTGAAAAAACGGGCACATACCTGGTGAGTTTGCCACAGAGTCAAAGTGACAATTAGCCAGAACAGCGTGCTGGGCTCCCTCTCTGGGTTCCAGCTTGACCACCACGTTGGTGATGTTGTCATAGTAGCTTGTAAAACCTCCCAAAAAGTCAATGCTGAAGGAGCCTGTGGGCCGCTGAACATCTACTGAAATCTTGTGAAGACTGTTGCTTTGAACTTCAATCAGTTTAATCTGTTCCAAGAGGTAACGCACGGTCAGAATTTCATTTTCTGGACTCCCTGTTGTCCTGGGGCCAATGGATGTTATGTGTTCAAGATGATCCCTGGAAGTCACCAAAAGAATGATTAACCCTTAGCACAGAACAACTTTTCCTCTGAACTCCCCTCACCCTGCAAAACAAGTTCTTTCACTTCTCACATAAAAAAGGGTACCTGCCCTGACCGGTTTGGCACGATGGATAGAGCATGGAGCATCAGAGCCTGCGGACTGAAGGGTCCCGGATTCAGTTCCGGTCAAGGGCTTGTACCTTGGTTGCGGGCACATCTCCAGTAGGGGGTGTGCGGGAGGCAGCTGATCGATGTTTTTCTCTCATCGATGTCCCTAACTTTCTATTCTTCTCCCTTCCTCTCTGTAAAAAAAAAAAAAAAATCAATAAAATATATTTATATATTTTTAAAAACGTATCTTCTTTGGGGAAACACTTGATGAAGTATATGACTGTCTAATCACTAGGCTGTAGACACAAAATTAATACAAAAAATATTGAATGTAGACAATAATTGAAAAAATAAATTTAATTTAAAAATAAAACAATTTTTTTTAAAAGGTTGCTTTTTATCATTTCAGGAACATTCCATCATTTCATCTCCCACAAATGCATCCCTTCAGAGTTTTCTTTACCCCTCCCTCTCCCAACTCCAAATTCTCTTAGCCCTCATACAAAGAATAGAGATTCTATTCAAAACGTGTAAATGCTGAAGACGAGACAGCACAGAGTGCAATTTCATGGTGCCACACTCTGGAGGGCTACTGACTCTGGGTTCAGGAAACCAGTGAGCAGAGACAATTACGTCAAGAAGTTAAACAAACAAACAAGCAAAACTTTTTTATTGTAAGGAATGGGCTCAGCCCTGCTATTGTGCATGCAAGGCCCAATAACTTCAATTCAGGCCAAAACTAACTCTACTCCACACACACACACACAAATTGTTTTGTCTTTTCACTGCATTCCAAGTGGGGAGAAAGGAGGGGGGAGAGGAGTCTATTCCGGAAAGCCCTTAATACGCTTCCAGCACACTGTATCCGAAAGAAAACGTTTCTAAACCCCAATCACTCTGCTAGCTGGAGATTTTGAGCTGACACTTACGCTACAATACATTTGACCTCATCACCTTTCTAGCACACTTAATGGTGCCTCCTAAAATTTTTTTTTTTTAGTTAAACCTTACACATTAGGGACCCAAGAATAACCGCCGGGAATCTGAGAGCTTCTGAAATGGTAAAATGTTTGGAGTGCATGTCCTCTTCCAGGCTGAGCCTCCGTAGCGTGCAGACGTGAGGACTGTGACCCTCAAAAAAAATTGGACCTCTGACTGCATGATCCCCTTCCCATCCCTGCCCGGGAACCGAACTAACAAAACCGGCGAGGCTCATAAAAGTCACGCTCCTGCATTTCATTTGGAAAGCAGAAGGGTTAGTTTAAAAGCTGCTCCAGAAGATGAGAGATGGCAAAGGAGCAAACCATCTGCAGGTGGGGCAGCAAGGGAACGGAGTGCCGGCGCGCTCCCCTTGGCCGCCCGCACCTGCACCACCAGCTCAGCAGCGGGCAGTGCCAGCCCGCCAGCCCCGCGCCCTGTACATCGGGGTCTCCAGGCAGGGACGCGCCAGGGCACCCACCGCACCCCACCGCACCGCACGCGGACGCAGGTGCGCCGGCGAGCCGAGCCCGGGCGGTCCCGCGGGGCGGGTGCCCAGGTGCGGGCTCCAGGTGAGGGGACGCGCGGGCGGGCGGGACGGCGGCCCGTACCTGGCTTGGCGCGCGTCGAACTCCCGCGGGTGGCCCGGGGCCCCGCGCAGCACGAGCTGCTGCAGCGACAGCTGCACGAGCGTCCGCAGCGCGAGCAGGTAGAGCGCCAGCCCCAGCGCGGCGCGCGCCTCGGACAGCCCGCTCCGCGCAGCCCCGCTCCCGCCGCCGCCGCCGCCCGCCCCGCTGCGCTTCCGCGTCCTCCCGCCGCCGCCGCCGCCGCGCGCGTCCGCCAGGCTCTCCGGCGCCCGGGCCTCCCGCTCCGGCAGCGGCGGCGCGGCGGCCGGGCCGTCCCGGCGCTCGCCTCCGACGCGGTGCCGCCTCACGGTCGCCGACTCCGAAACCCACTCCATGGCCACGAGCCGCCGCCGCCGCCGCCAGCCCCAACAGCCCCACAGCCCGCGACAGCCCGGGAGCAGCGGGGCCGCGGCCGCCGCAGCGCCGCCTAGTGAGCGGACGGAACCTGCAGAGGGCCAAACTTGTTCTGATTGGCCCGTCCCGCCCGCCGCCCGCCGCCCGCCGCCCGCGCGCGGACACCCGGGCTCTGCGGGCAGCTCCTCGGTGGGCACCGCGGCAGGGCAGGGCGGGCCCGGGCTGGGCGGGCCCAGGTTGGGCGTGGTGGGTGTGCCTTTCTCCTGCGGCTGGGCTCCCCTGCCAGGTGTAGGATGGAGATTTCCAAACGGAAAGATACCCATCCACCTAGAAACCTGAGGAAAGCGAGAGATTGCGTTTAAAAGTATGCACATGGTGCAGCAGGCTGATGAAGAAGGCCATGGCCCAGCTTTCCTAAGCAGCATCAGAACTGTCTCTGGACATTGTAGGCTTTTAAAATGGGGAAATAATATTATGATAATAAGACCGCGCAAAGGAGGCCTAGACTCATGCTTCCACATATCTTAACCGTGGGAGGTAATCAGCATTATCATTGCCTCCATGAACAGCGGAAGAAAAAGAAGAGCTATTATTTTCTGAATGCCTGCCACGAGCCAAGCACTGTGCTAAATGATTTATTATAATATATCAACTCACTGGAGTCTCATAAGAACCATGAAAGGGGAAAACTTTTATTCCCATAAGAGCCGAGAAACTTACAAGTAGCAGCTGATGGTCTTTAAGACAGTGGGCTCTCCAAACAGCACTCTATCCGAGGACTGAAGGTGGCCCTCTGGAAAGCGACCGCCTTGGTCTTCTTTGTGCCTCAAAGTTCTGTGTCTCCAGCATGGACTTCCAGGAGCCCTTTGACCATTAACCTGGAGACCAACTGGGAAGGCGCAGTCCCCTGCCTGCCTGCCCGACCTTACCTGCCGCTCAGGCCCACCTGACCTCAGGCTGCTCCTTGTTCTCAGCTCTCCAGCTGGCCTCTTTCAAAATCCTTCCTGCTCACCCATCTCTCCTTCTCCAACAGGATCCTCTCACCTGCTGGCCGAGCTGCCTGGAATGGTCTTCCCTCCCCTCGTTGCCTAGTTTACGCCTATTCAGCATAAGTGGTACTTCCGCAAGCAAGCATCTCCTCACCTAATGAAGCCGGCGCCCCCTACTTGTAGGACCTCACGGCACCATGGGTAATTATGTAATGTTCTCCTCGTTAGACGGTAAGCCCCATGAAGGTATGAATCATGTCTGGCTCTGCTCATCCTTCCATCCCCTGCTCTTCACACAAAGCATGACATGCAGCATGTAACCAATAGGCAGTTGTTGGTTAAATAAATGGCAGCGTAACAATGGTATGGCAGCAGCATCAAGTTTAGCTCAGTAAGATCCTTTTGTAGCCGGTAAGGTAAATAAGACCAAAGACAATGTCTATCTTATTTATTCCTCACTGTGTCCCCAGTGCCTAGCTCTGTGCCTAGCAAATGAATACATACTGTCTTTTTATAGGAACCAGCTGTCTTGCTATTCTTTCCGAAAACTCTATCGCCCGCACCATCTTTGGGAAATAGCAGCTCAGAAACAACTCTGTCCACCAAAGCAAAACAAGATATGGGGTCTGGCCGGGACCGGTTTGGCTCAGTGGATAGAGCGTCGGCCTGCGGACTGAAAGGTCCCGGGTTCGATTCCGGTCAAGGGCATGTACCTTGGTTGCGGGCACATCTCCAGTAGGGGGTGTGCAAGAGGCAGCTGATCGATGATTCTCTCTCATCGATGTTTCTAACTCTCTATCCCTCTTTCTTCATCTCTGTGAAAAATCAATAAAATATATATTTTTTTAAAAAGACATGGGTTCTGTAGTTCCTAGGCAACGGGCACAAGTGTCTGTGTGGGGTTTTTTGTGTGTGTGTGTTTTGTTTTTTTTTAATTTTTTACTTATTTTATGCTGTCACTTGCTGGGCTGGGTGGATGTCAGAAAACCTAGAGACCATGCAGGGGTCTTCAAACTACGGCCCGCGGGCCACATGCGGCCCGCAGAGGAGTCTGATCCGGCCCGCCAGGTTTTTTGGGCAGTGAGCGCAGCCGAGGTGTTACAGTAGGAATTAGTAGTTCATATAGTCCGGCCCTCCAGCTCTCTGAGGGACCGTGATCTGGCCCCCACTTTAAAAAGTTTGGAGACCCCTGAAGGAGCCGGGTGATTGGCTAAATCGCTGAGCTCTCTTTCGGAATGGATCGTGTAAGGCAGGCATCTCTGACAATATTCCGGCAGTGGACCGCTCACGGAATGCTGTCAGAGGCAGGACTGAAGCCCAGCTGCTGAAGTCAGCTCGGCCGAGTCCCTGATGCAGGAACCTTATGCAAGTGAGTCTCAGCGCGGCAGTGCCCTTATCTGTGATATGGAGATAACGCCGCCTTACAGGGCTTCCACGGGGATTGATCAGCTGGGACTTGTGAAACGTCTTCACACCGAAGTCTCATTAAATGCTATTTTCCAGAAATTTTTTTTTCCCTTATACAATCATTTGCTGATGGGATTAAAAGCCATTTTCCCCCTCCTGATAACCACAGAGCCCGAGGTGGGAGAAATTGAATTATTATCATGGGAGTCTTGGAAGGCAGGTTTTCTCTGGGTTTGTGTAAACTGTGGTAGTCCCATTTGGATATTTTTAAACTGCCAGTTGTTGGACATCTACTCTGAGTCAGATACTGATCCAGGTGGGAAACACTCAGAAGAGCAAATTAATGTTTGTGCCTTCACAGACCTTACATTCTAGTTGGAAGACAATAATGAGGGAGAGGGAGAGGGAGAGGGAGAGGGAGAGGGAGAGGGAGAGGGAGAGGGAGAGGGAGAGGGAGAGGGAGAGGGAGAGGGAGAGAGAGGATAAAATGTCATATAAAATGCTACAAAGAAAAATAAAGCAAGGAACTGAGAAGGACCAAGGCTGCTGTTTTAAGTAGGCTAATCAAAGAAGCGCCCTCTGAGGAGACAACATTTGAAGTGACCTGAATGAAATGAGAAATGGGGCCTAAACACCCGAGGCCAGACTGTCCCAGGCAGAGAGAGAGAGGAGAAATGGGATGATGTTCAGGGCACGTGGCCGAAGCAGACTGAGCAGGGGGGCAGTGACGGGGCGAGGTCAGAGAGGCGGGCGGGGGCCAGAGCAGGAGGCCCTCCTGGGTCACCCCAAGGACGCCGGGGCCGTTTGAAACAGTGAAAGCTCAGGCGCAGGTTCTGTCTTCTGATACGGCTCAGAGCCTTGGTATCAGGCAGAGCCGCACAACGACCACACCTAGATCGCAGAGGCTAATAAAGGACGTGGCTGACGCCGGGCCTTTGAAGTGCTGGAGGCCGCTGAGCTGTTTGTTACTTTGTGTGTGTGGGAGGGACAGCGCAGTGAAACACAGACTCTGGTTCCCACGTATCGAATTGCTGATGAGGACAGAACAAGATGTGCTCCAGCCGCCCTGTCGGGTGAGCTCCCGGCCACGGGGGCTGACTCCGTTCCTCTGACCTGACAGAGAATCGTGCTTTTCTCATGTGCCCGTCCCCCCAGGACACAGTGAAAGCCAGGCCTGCCTACAGGCGCAGAGATGTCCCAAGTCTCCTCTGCTTTGCCCTCTCTCTGGTATCTCCTAGTAAACTGGCCGAAGAGAGTAGAAAGGCATGTGAGGCCCTGGCCAGTTTGGCTCAGTGGATAGAGCGTCAGCCTGCGGACTGAAAGGTCCCAGGTTTGATTCCAGGTCAAGGGCATGTACCTTGGTTGCAGGCACATCCCCAAGTGGGAGGTGTGCAGGAGGCAGCTGATCAGTGTTTCTCTCTTATCGATGTTTCTAACTCTCTATCCCTCTCTTTTCCTCTCTGTAAAAAAAAAAAAAAAAAAAAAAAAAAAAATCAATAAAATATATTTTAAAAAAATTAAAAAGGCCTGTGAGGTGTCAGGATTTAGGTTAATTGTTCGTCTCTGTCTTCCCCGGAGGTCACCCTCCAGCCTACGTGCACTTTTCCTCAGAAAAGGGGGTTACTGTGGCACTTGGTGAAAGTTCTCTGTGACGAGGCTGGCTTTTATCTGATGTGACAGTGACACTGAAATCAAGGGAGGTGCCACACCAAGAGGAAACAAGGGAATTCAAATCATTCGTAAGAAACAGAAGCAGGTGTCCAGAACGGACAGGCAGAGCGAGCCAAAGATTGAAAAACTAAGAACAAAGATTCAAAAGGAAAAATAAACCTAGGATAAACATTGCAGACAAGTACTGTTGCCTACAGCTCAGTCTTAGGTGCTTATTGAGGCGGCCAGCTGTGCTTCAAGGGCCAGAAATGGAGGCTTGTGGCCATGTTTTGGAATCAGCATTAAGTTCATTTCTTGTTCTTGTTGTTGTTGTTGTTGTTGTTGAGATCCCTGCAGGCTGAAGCCGGGGCTTCCTCACTACAGAGGTCTGCGGGGGGATATTCTGGAGCTGGAGACCATGATCAGCTGCAGGGAGCACCTCCCGTAAGCCAGGCGGCCTGGCAGAGCAGGGCATCTGAAAGGTATGCAGGCCAGACCTGTAAACCCCCTTTTCCCTTGGAGCCTAGGAGAGCGTGAGGGCACCCCACTGCTCCCTCCCGGTCTGGCTCAGTCCTCCCTCCCACTCCCTGGCTCCCCGGAGCCGTGGCCACACAGGAGCCAGAAAGCCAGCCCAGCCGCATTACTAATTGAAACCACATGTCAGGTTACCCAGTGAGAAAGGAGAGCCTCCCCTTTTTTAAGTAGCTTGTTTCCAGCTAAAGAGCCCCTTTGGAAACATAAGAGTGAAGAAAATTAGCTCTTTGGGGGAAAGAAAATCAAATTTGAACCCTCATGTTACCCCCTCCCTCCCAAATCAAGTAGAATTCAGAATTAAACAACTTTTTTTTTAACTGATAAGAAATGTTAAATATGATTAATTATAATAATGAAGACTCAAAATGGACAAGGACTCTATGGAAGAAATCACAAAGGTAAAAATGACTTGGTTGACTGAAAAAAAAAAAAATTCTATATGCCAAAAAAAAAGGAAAAGTCTAATGACAAACTTGGGACATTATTTTCAACAAATTTTAAA